GATGTCCCCTGCAACCATGGTCCTGAGCACGTAGGTCCAACTACTTGCTCCCTCAGGGTAGCTGGCTATGGCCAAGAAGTCACCACACACAATGGTTGTTATCATTTTATAGTCCAGCCAGCAGTGTATGTGAGTCCCAATCTTTCCACAACCTTGCCAACATGTGCTGTTTTCTGCAATGTTGAACACTGTTATTAGTGCTGGTGTGATATGGTATCTCTCACTGTTGTTTTGATTTGCATCTCTCTAATGGCTAATGATTGGAAATATTTCTTCATGTGTTTGTTGGCCACCTGAGTATCTTCTTTGGTAAAGTACCAGTTCATGTTTTCTGCTCATTTTTTAATTGGATTGTTTGTCTTTTTGATGTTGAGGTGTTGGAGTTTTCTGTAAACTTTAGAGATAAGTTCCTTGTCTGATATGTCATTGCCAAAAATTTTTCCCCAATCTGTAGGCTCTCTTTTTATGATGCACATAAGAATTTAATTTTTAGAAGGTCCCAATCATTAGTTTATCTTCTCATGTTCATGTATTCTGGGTTATATGATAGTGTATTTATGCCATACATTAGGGGCTCTAAGTTTGTACCAAGGTTTTCTTTGATGAACTTTATAGTTTTAAGTTTCACATTTAAGTCTTTGATCTATCTCAAGTTAGTTTTTGTGTATGGTGTAACGGTATGGTTCTTGTTTCACTTTTATGCAAATAGATATCCAGTTTTGCCAGCACTATTTGTTAAAGAAACTATCTCTTCTCCATTTAATGGATTTTGGCCCTTTGTCATAGATCAGCTATCCATAGGTGGATGGGTCTATTTCTGGATTCACAATTCTGTTCCACTGGTCTATGTGGCAAACATTGTACCAATACCAGGTTATTTTGACTACTGTGGCTGTATTGCAGGTTTTGAGATCTGGGAGTATGAGACCTTTGTGGTGTAGTAAATTACATAGTGTGGCTTTTCTAGCCATAAGTCTTTGTAAACCCTGAGGTGGAATTTGCCATGAGCAACTGAGTAGCTCTTGATTGTTAAAGTTATCCACCTGGGGTATTTCTGTTGGGAGCAGCAGAAAGTAATTTTCTGGGAAGTTCCCTCTCTCTCAGGTGTATAGAATTCTGATGTTGAAATTGGTTAGTTTGGCCATTCTGCCAGGCTCAAAAGGAGCCCTCCTAGAGGCAGAAGAAATCTCTCACTGCCAGCTGAGAGTCATGCAAGACATGCAATGCTGAGAGAGACCCTGAAGAGACATGCACTGCTGGGGGAGAGACTGAGAGAGACTGTCAGCTGAGAGATGGCAGGCTGAGAGAGACTGAGCATGTTCCTGAACTTGAATTGTAGCCTGTGCTTCCCTAATAAATTCCATAATCTGTGAGTTCTGTGCAGCTACTGCAGTGAATTATCGAACTCAACAGAGGGGTGGTGGGTGCCACGGAAGGAATGGTTGGTGTCAGGGGTGGTGAAAGGGCTGGAGGGAGGCAGCATGTCTCGCCTCATAGGAATAGGTCTTGAGCTACTGATGGTAATTCTGTCTTCCTCTTGTGGGGTTAAAGGAGGTCAGAAGATGCGGCCTCTCTGCTCCTTTGGCAACCTCCTACTTTGCTCTTCTTCAATAATGCTTTGCTTATCCAAGGTCTCTTTCCCTTGTGTATAAAATTAGTGACTGGTTTTTCCATATCCTTAAGGAATGTTGATGGAATCA